CATTTGGGGTCACCCAGAAGTGGGGACAGCAGCATCTACATGGCCCTAAGCACTGTCCCACTCAACCCCGGGAGCCACAGCTACTCCAGGCCACCGACACAGCCCCTCACCTGCAGCTTCTCAAAGACTTTCTTCTTCGGCTTGAGCTCATCATCGGGCTCCCCGCCCTCGTAGCCCTCCACGTAGACGCGCTCCCCAGCGCAACACCCGGCCGGGGGGTCCAGGGGCTCCACCTGCCGCGGTTCCCCAGCGCTGCCGAGGGGGGAGGAGGAAGCAGAGTCCCCCCGAGGTGGTACCCACCTGCCCCTCAGCACCACTGGACTCTGGGGTGGGAGAAGGTGGTCCGGACTGCACCCCTGGAAGGGTACGGCCCCGATGTCCCCTCACTCACCTGGAGGCACACAGCACCATGCCCTGCGACTCCACACCCCTCATCTTCTGGGGCTTGAGGTTGCAAAGCAGCACCACCAGCCTGTCCTGCAACTGCTCCTTGGGGACAAACTGCACCAGGCCACTGACCACAGTGCGGGGCTCAGGCTCACCCACATCGATCTTCTCCACGTACAGGCTGTCGGCATCTGGGTGCTGCCAAGGAGAAGGAAGGTGAGGAGCAGGGAAGGGGATTGGGGTGGCAGAGAAGGGGGCAGACTGTCCCCCACAGGCACTGAGGACCCATGTCACCATGGAGGAAGGTTACTACCCTCTCCCCGTTGTTCCCTTACCTTTTCCACACTGATCACTTTGCCAACGCGAATGTCCAGCCGGGATGGGACCACGTTCTCAGGCTCTGAGTTCTTGATGCCCTTCTCTGCAGGCTCTGCAGTGCAAAGGGAACAGTTGTGCCACTCAGCATAAACCCAGGGAGCTGGCTGGGCCCTGGGGAGCACACAGTGACCCCCAAACACTGGCCCTGGTGCATGTTGAATTCCCACAGAGCACAGTCCCTCCTCTGCTCTGCCGGCCTCTCACGCACCAGCACAGCACAGTGGCACCTGCCCTCTCTGGAGCAGGTAAACACACCTGGCCTTGGCCTTTCCTTACCCTTCCTAATGCTCCCTGGGGCTGCCCTGGAGAATGAAGATTCAGAATTTCTCTCCAAGCTCAGCCCATGGTGGGAACTCCCTCCCACCCAGCCCTGCTCCCACTTCCCCAAGCTCCCAGCAACTCCTTACTGGCTTTGGATGGGTTGGGATACGCTGCATTGGTCAGTTTTTTCAGTTCTGGGCTGTTGAATTTCTCTCTGATGGGGTCAAGCAGTTTGTTCAGGGCCACTTCCACCGAGTTCTTCAAGTCTCCAGGATGCACGACCTGTATCGTGACAAACAGAGGGGTTCCTGCACGGTTCCCTCCAGTGCAGGGGAGAAGCAGAATTCAAATCACTGATCTGAGGGCAGAGGCAGGAACTGGAGACCACACAGGACAGGGAGATGAACCCCAGCACTTGGTGTCATTCCCCCTCGGACATCAGAGCCCCTCTCCTGGACATTTCTGCTTTCAGCCTCAGCTGGGAACAGCTCAAAATGGTTAAACTGTTGCTCTGTTCCAAGATGTGGCTGACATGGTCCTGTCCTGCACCAGGACAGCTTGTGCTCCCACATCCTTCACCCATCCTCTCACCTTCGGGCTCTCCTGGCTGGGAGCACCCTGTCACCCTACAGCCACTGGGCCACGCTCTGCTCCACACCTTCCCCCAGTGCAGATTTCCATCTCCCAATGCTGCTCAGAGTCCCCCAGATTGCTCTCAGGAGCCTCAGGGAGAGGGTTCAGTCCTTCCCAGCACTAACCTGCTCAGCAAAGTCCTTCTCCAGGGTCTCATAGGCTGTGTAGGTTTTGTTTCCTCCCCATTTTTCTTCTCGTAGAATCACAAACTCTACGACACAGAGATTTTAAGGCTCAGATTAACTCAAGTGAAGACTCACTCCCTGCTCAGCCAGAGAAATCTTCCATCCCACTTAACCCTGAGCTGAGGGGCTCTGCAGCAGGGGCTGGGGAGGGGGCACTCAGGGGCAACCTGCTTCAGGGGACACACGCTCCTGTCCCCTCCTCTTACCCACAGGGAAGACCAGCCCCAGTGCCCGAGTGTGGGGAGCCCCTCACCTGACTTGAGGGGAAAGAGGACATGCTTGATGAAGGAGAGGACACCGTTGTTCTCCACGTTCCCTGGCTCACAGAAAGCCTTCTTCAGCTTCTTCTTCACATCTTCCTTGCGGTCCAGAAGGTCAATCTTTGAGTCCTGCAGGAAGAGATTTCTGCAGCCCTTTAGCCAAATTCTTGCCCAGAAGAGACAGCTCAATGCTGGAGTTGTTGTAACTTCTTAGACCCCAGTGTGAGTGGAGAGAGAAGTCACCTTCTCTTGGGGTGCAGCATCTCCACTCCCAGCCATTTACCCCCCTCAGAACCCCTGACTGCAGCCACTGTTCAGAGACCAACCTCTTCTGACGAGCTCATTTTGCTGCCTGTCAGACCAGGAACCATTGGGTTCATCAAATGGACGCGCTTGGCATAGCCCAGGGAAGGAAGGTACTGGGAAAAAAGCAAGGAGACAAGTCATGGACAATCCTCTTCTGGAGATCACCTTTAACTCACAATCCCTGTTTGCTCCTGGCTCCAGATAACTTGGGGCCCCAGAATAACAAGACTCAGAAAGCTACTGTAGGTTCACAAGGTGCTGACAGCCACACGCAGGGACATGTGGCAGCACTATTTTGCACACCAGAGCCCCACAGACCAGGAGAGCAGCAGCAAGAGCTGTGAAGAGCCCTGTGGTGGTGACTGAAATCACAGACATGCTTCTCCCAATGGATTACTGAGCACTCGAGCCCTGAGCCAGACACCAGCACTGCAGGGAGCTCACAAACACCCTGTCCTGGTTTGTACTTGGTGGTGTTTGGCTGCTGGCCAGGTTAAAACCACTACACACCCCCACTCCTCACCTTCTCTGCAAAGGTAAATATCTTCCTCTGATCAACTCCTCCAAACTGTGCGTCCACCTTGAGGTACTCCTCATCCAGCGCCTGCAGAGAGACACACACAGCCTGGAGACTGCACCCAGGACCCCACACTCCAGCTGGGCTCAGTCTTTGGAGGTCCTGCCCATCCCCTAGAATCTGCCCAGCCTCTGCTGGGGCATTCCCACCCTGGGAGCTCTCCAGACTGGAATCACTGTAGAAGCAGCTCCATGCTCAGGTTATGTTTTGTGCTGCTGCCAGGTGGAACACTGGGGTGGAGTACAACGACCTTGGCATCCAGCCTCACGCGTCCCTGCAGTCCTGGCTTCACCCAGCACCGCCCTGGCCAAGAGGCTCCGCTGTCCCACCTCACCACGACTCACCTGCAGGCCTGGGTAGAGCAAACCGCTCAGCAAGGGGTGCTCCACCTGCTTCACCACCTCCGCTCCCGCCTTCTTCGCGTCGTGCTGCGTCACCACGGACGAGAGGCGGTACACGTCCAGCGTGTACTCCCTGAGAGAGGGGACAGCACTGTCAGCACCGGGGAGGGGGACGTCTTTTAGAGCTGCTTCACTAGTTCTGGTCACATCAACAGGAGTCAAGGCCTGGAGGCACCTTCACTTTGTTCCCTGAATGACAGCGCCTGGGAGCAGGCGCAGGGACAGGGCAAACTCAGCAACAGCAGAGCCCCAGGTCGGGGTCTCCCTTCCTGAGAGGACCAGGTACCCCAGGACTCACTTGGTGAGCTGGTAGTCAGTGCCCCGGACAAACTTCAGCTTTTCCAGGGGCACCCCAATGCTCTCCAGCATGGCCTTGATCACGTTCTCGTAATAGCGAGTGCGCAACTCCAGCAGCTCCCAGGGGGCCTTCATGTTGTCTAGGTAAGCGTGGAGGTCAGCAAAGAGGATCGTCACCTAGTACAGAGGGACAGAGTCAGTGCCACACGAGTCAGGGGAACGACACATTCCCATCCATCAGGGGGTCAGAGCCCCAGCCTGGCCCCACACCTCACACCCGGCCTTCAGGAAGTCTGCGATCTTGGACATGGGCACAAAGTAGGCGACGTGTGGCTTCCCCGTGGTGGCTGTTCCCCAGTAGATCTTCAACTCTCGCTCCTTCAGGATGGCCATGAGCTTATCCTCCCCCAGCACCTCCTGAGGAGGGACAACACACATTCACCATGGCTGAGCCTACCTGTGAACACGCTGCCCTGCCTGGGG